GGAAGGGGCAAGCTTGGAATGCTAACCACCGTAGTGCATCGATTGTTACTCTAAGACGAAGCCTATTCTTCTTGATGTCCTCTTCTGTTTGCTTCACCACTAATTGTTCCATATGTCATTTCTTATTCTTCAAATTATCATAACATTTGACAGCAAAACTATGAGCGGATTTACTATCCTTTCCCATGTGAGTCAAGAATGCGCATTTGTTTCCATCATTAACTCGCTTCCATTTTCTGAATCCTTGCACTGTAAACACATTAGACCCTTTTTCCAAGTGGCTTCTTATAAAACAAAAAGCATGGAAAACAATAGACTGCATCTTTCAATGGTGAATATTCCAACCAAGGGAAGGATTTAAACCAATGATACTGAAACTTGCGTTGATGGACTACTGAATCGTCAAGAGGGTACTCATCCATTTCAATCTGATATGCTCCATGCTTCATATATGCATTACGATCTTGTTCTTGAGCATTAGGAGGATAATCCCAAATTTGGCATCGCAAACCCGGATCCCTTTCTACTATCAGAACAGAAGCATCATCGTTCCCTCCCTCTCTCTGAACCTCAGGCGGTGTTGATGTTGCAATTTCTTCTTCTACCGCTGGTTCTTGTTCATCCACCAAGTGAGGGCTGGCCCCCAAATTATTTTCTACAGAAGCATCAACTCTTGCTTTCTTCTCAAAAAAGGAATGCATTGTTACAGACTTTCTTTTATGTTTGACCATGATTATTCTGTACAAATTGAACAGAATCAACTATTAGAAACTCACCTATTTAGAGAAATTAACAATCCAAAACAAAACAAATGCCAGATCTGAAATTTAGATGTGAGAAAGAGAGAGGAACTGGGAAGAATTTGTACCTCGAAGAAGAGCAACAGACAGCCGACGGGAGAGGAACTGAGATAGATTTGGGACCTGGCCGCCTCGCTGGCTGTCTCCTTGGAGGGTTCGAGCATGGGGCGGAGAGGCCGGGAGGGGAGGGGACTAAAGAGAGCCAAAGAAATTTGGGGAAGAGGATTCACGTGTGTTGGAGAAGAAACAGGGGCGATGGGCTGGGCTGCCTCACCTCACGGGTTCTCTTGGGATATACTCCCTCGGTTTCCTTTTACTCCGCATATAAGATTTGGTCAAAGTCAAACTACACAAATTTTGATCAAATTTATATTAAAAAATATGAACATCTACAATACTAAAACTATATAGTATGAAAATACATTTTCTTGGTGCATCTGATAATATTGATTTCATATTGTGAATGTTTATATGTTTTAATATAAAGTTAGTTAAACTTTACAAAGCTTAACTTTGACCAAATCTTATATGCAGACTAAAGAAACGGAGGAAGTACTAGAATACTAATGGGAAAAGTCAAAGATTGAGCTTAGGATTTATCGTGGCAACTATTACTGAATGCTGACTTGCTATTGGGGTGGCCAGACCTGCGGAATACATTGTTTTGGGCACAAAAAATCACTGATGTAATGAGTATATTAGCTTGTTGGCCCGGGCCCGGGCCCCTGCTGGCCCCCCCTGTGGCTCCTTCATTGGGCGTAACCACACTCGATTCAACTAAAGTTGGAGAAACTGACACCCGCCAGCCACCTATGTGCAAAGCACGACGGTAGAACCAGTCTCGTGTAAGCGTACGCGTAATGTCGGTCCGGGCCGCTTCATCCAACAATACCGCCGAACCAAAGTATGACATGCTGGTAAGCAGTATGACTTGTATCGCCCACAACTCACTTGTGTTCTACTCGTGCATATAGCATCTACGCATAAAACCAGGCTCGGATGCCACTGTTGGGGAACGTAGTAATTTCAAAAAAATTCCTACGCACACATAGGATCATGGTGATGCATAGCAAAGAGAGGGGAGAGTATTGTCCACGTACCCTCGTAGACTGAAAGCGGAAGCGTTAGCACAACGCGGTTGAGAACGTATGGCACCCCTGAGTTCAGCACATGTTCAACTCGATGAAGTCCCGCGAACTCCGATCCAGCAGAGCTTCACGGGAGAGTTCCGTCAGCACGACGGCGTGATGACGGTGATGATGTTGCTACCGACGTAGGGCTTCGCCTAAGCACCGCTATGATATGACCGAGGTGGAATATTATGGAGGGGGGCACCGCACACAGTTGGAATAGATCAATAGATCAACTTGTGTGTCTAGAGGTGCCCCCTGCCCCCGTATATAAAGGAGCAAGGGGGTAGAGGCGGCCGGCCAGGGAGGGCGCGCCAAGGGGAGAGTCCTACTCCCGGTGGGAGTAGGACTCCTCCTTTCCTAGTAGGAGTAGGAGAAGGGGGGAAGGAGGAGGTGGAGAGAAGGAAGGAGAGGGGGCCCGCCCCCCTTCCCTTGTCCAATTCGGACTGGGGCAAGGGGGGCCGCGCGCCACCTCTTGGATGCCCTCTCTCTTCTCCACTAAGGCCCAATAGACCCATTACTTCCCCCGGGGGGTGGGTGGGTCCGGTAACCCCCGGTACTCTAGTAAAATTCTGATTTCACCCGGAACACTTTCGATATCCAAATATAGGCTTTCAATATATCAATCTTTATGTCTCGACCATTTCGAGACTCCTCGTCATGTCCGTGATCATATCCGGGGCTCCGAACTACCTTTGGTACATCAAAACATAAAACTCATAATACCGATCGTCATCTAACTTTAAGCGTGCGGACCCTACGGGTTCGAGAACTATGTAGACATGACCGAGACATGTCTCCGGTCAATAACCAATAGCGGAACATGGATGCTCATATTGGCTCCTACATATTCTACGAAGATCTTTACCGGTCAAACCGCATAACGACATACGTTGTTCCCTTTGTCATCGGTATGTTACTTGCCCAAGATTCGATCGTCGGTATCTCAATACCTAGTTCAATCTCGTTACCCGCAAGTCTCTTTACTCGTTCCGTAATACATCATCCTGTAACTAACTTATTAGTTACAATGCTTGCAAGGCTTATAGTGATGTGCATTACTGAGTGGGCCCAGAGATACCTCTCCGACAATCGGAGTGACAAATACTAATCTTGAAATACGCCAACCCAACAAGTACCTTTGGAGACACCTGTAGAGCACCTTTATAATTATCCAGTTACGTTGTGACGTTTGGTAGCACACAAAGTGTTCCTCCGGTAAACGGGAGTTGCATAATCTCATAGTCATAGGAACATGTATAAGTCATGAAGAAAGCAATAGCAGAATACTAAACGATCAAGTGCTAAGTTAACGGAATGGGTCAAGTCAGTCACATCATTCTCCCTAATGATGAGATCCCGTTAATCAAATGACAACTCATGTCGATGGCTAGGAAACATACCTATCTTTGATCAACGAGCTAGTCAAGTAGAGGCATACTAGTGACACTCTGTTTGTCTATGTATTCACAAAAGTATTATGTTTCCAGTTAATACAATTCTAGCATGAATAATAAACATTTATCATGATATGACGAAATAAATAATAACTATTATTGCCTCTAGGGCATATTTCCTTCAAAACGATTACGATATCCGTCTACGGACGCGTAGCCAGCCATCCAATCATGTACCTCAAATGTCTATATACATTTCAAATTGAATTCGAACAAACTAGACGCTTGTCATGCAAACCGGATGATTTTCATCTAAACCGACCAGATTCATTAGATTTTTGACATATTTCAAGTAAACAGAAGAGGACGACACTTATTTAACCTAGTCTAAATCTTCGCCAACCGTGGAGGGCATTTGTGTTCCATGTCCTATCTTTCCCATGTCTAGCAACCTCAATGGCCTTGAGCCTCGGGAAATGAAGTTGCAGGAAGGGAAGAGTAGTAAGTGGGACATGAGACGTAGCCGTGTCCGTCCACCTCCCACTCTTCCTCGTCGGAGTCTGCCGCATGGACGCAAACATATGTGGATGGGGCGGCCTCGTGCTCGTTGCGGCCGAGCACGAACCACGTGCCCAACACGAAGTTGACGACGCCCGCGGTGGCCCACATCTACTCTTTTTCCGCCTCCGCGTCGATCTCCGCGAGCAGGGCATCTGTATCCGCCCACATGATGCGAAGCCGTCATCGCTCACGGCGGGTGTCGCAGGCGCTATTCTTGGTCTCGTACATCACCCACTGCTAATCTAGGAAGCCTGGACCCTCCGCGACCATAGCCGCGACGACATCATCATTCACCGGCTCACCAAAAATTTCCTTCCACGAGCCGACGCTCGTCGAGGTTCCGGAGGTTGTAGCATTGCTCCTACTACGCCTAACGGACCTCGACATCGGTGGCGCTGGCTGCTATTCTGCCATGACGGCGTTGATCGTGGGTGGGGCGCTGACCCGTTGTCGGACGCCTCATCCATCATCTGGTCATCATCGCTGACCTCCAGCGAGCTCGTCGGTAAGCCAACCTCCGTTCATCGCGCATGACGGGCATGCCAGCCAGTCGCTAGGTCGACGAACTCCTGCTTTTGTTCCGTCGAGAGGATCTCCCACATCACTCTAGAGCTTGCGATCATAGCGAACATGGTGCGGTGCTCATCGTGCCGGGCAAGGCCACGTTTAAATAGCGGGTGTCGGCCAGACCAAGAGGCGGGTTGCGTTAATGCGGATGTTGGAGTGGATTTCTTATCCGCCGCGCCTATTTAATGCCGACAGGCGGATGAACGGGCATTTGATTTGAATGCGATAGAAAATTGTCCCGTCTTGTCACATGTCTCCGGCATTGAACATGTGGAAAAGGCCGCCATGAATTTGGGCGCGGGGAGTAGAGGCACCTGTCCAGCATGGAGGTGTTGAAAGGGGATTTCCAGCGGGTGACCGCTAACTAGTTTTTCCTTTTTCTGAACTTCGTTAATCACCTCGCTTCGCTCCTCACAGCCGGCTGCTTATCCCTTCGCGCTACGGAAGCAGCGGCCACCATGGCGCCAGCGCCTCCCCCAAACCTCCGCTAAACCCCGGGGCCATGCCCGCCGCCTCCTCGTCCACCACCATCGCCGGCTCCCAAAATGCCTCCTCCGCCCACGGCCAGGCCGCACCCAAACCCTCCTCTCCTCCTCGCCCCCCTCCGCTCCCCGCCCGCGCGCCACCTGGCCCCGCGGAGTAGGCGCCTCAGCTCCTCCACCACCCGCGTGGCCGTCTCGCCGTCGCCGCCGCCTCCGTCGTCGGCGACCTCCACGACGCCCTCCGACACGAGCGCGGCGCTGCGGGCGCTCTGCGTGCACGGCCAGCTGCCGCAGGCGCTCTGGCTGCTCGAGTCCTCCCCGGAGCCGCCCGACGAGGATGCCTACGTGGCGCTCTTCCACCTCTGCGAGTGGCGCCGGGCCTCGGACGCCGGGATGCGCGCCTGCGAGCACGCCGACGCCGCGCACCCCACCTTCGGCCTCCGCCTCGGCAACGCCATGCTCAGCATGCTCGTCCGCTTCGGCGAGTCGTGGCACGCCTGGGGCGTGTTCGCCAAAATGCCCCAGCGGGACATCTTCTCCTGGAACATCATGGTGGGCGGCTACGGCAAGGCCGGGTTCCTGGAGGAGGCGCTGGACCTGTACCACCGGATGCTCTGGGCCGGGGTCAGGCCCGACGTCTACACCTTCCCCTGCGTGCTGCGCACCTGCGGGGGCGTCCCCGACCTGAGGATGGGGAGGGAGGTGCACGCCCATGTCCTGAGGTTCGGGTTCGGGGTCGAGGTCGACGTGCTCAATGCGCTCGTGACCATGTATGCCAAGTGCGGGGACGTCGGGGCAGCACGGAAGGTGTTTGATGGTATGGCCTTGACTGACTGCATCTCGTGGAATGCGATGATCGCTGGGCATTTTGAGAATCATGAGCGGGAGGCGGGGCTGGAGTTGTTCCTTAACATGCTGGAGAATGAGGTGCAGCCGAATCTCATGACGATAACCAGTGTGACTGTTGCGTCCGGATTGCTGTCTGACCTTGATTTTGCAAAGGAAATGCATGCGTTAGCGGTAAAAAGAGGTTTTGCCACTGATGTTGCGTACTGCAACTCTTTGATTCAGATGTATACTAGTCTTGGGAGGATGGGGGAAGCATGCACGATATTCTCAAGAATGGAGACCAGAGATGCCATGTCATGGACAGCCATGATATCAGGGTATGAGAAAAACGGCTTCCCAGACAAAGCTCTTGAAATGTATGCACTGATGGAAGTAAATAATGTAAGTCCTGACGATGTCACTGTGGCAAGCGCTCTTGCTGCCTGTGCTTCCTTGGGGCGAGTAGATGTTGGCATCAAGCTGCATGAGATTGCTACGAGCAAGGGCTTCATCAGGTACATTGTAGTTGCAAATGCACTCCTTGAAATGTATGCAAAGTCCAAGCACATTGATAAAGCTATTGAAGTTTTTAAGTACATGCCTGAAAAGGATGTAATATCATGGAGTTCAATGATCGCGGGCTTTTGCTTTAACCATAAGTGCTTTGAGGCTCTGTTCTGTTTCCGGCATATGCTGGCAGATGTAAAACCCAATTCTGTTACTTTCATTGCTGCTCTTGCTGCTTGTGCTGCTACTGGATCTTTGAGGTATGGTAAAGAGATTCATGCACATGTTTTAAGGCGAGGTCTGGCATCTGAAGGTTATGTACCCAATGCTCTTCTGGACTTGTATGTGAAATGTGGCCAGACAGGCTATGCTTGGGCACAGTTCAGTGCACATGGTGAAAAGGATGTTGTATCATGGAATATCATGCTTGCTGGTTTTGTTGCTCATGGACATGGAGATATTGCTTTATCATTCTTCGATGAGATGTTAGAAACTGGAGAGCATCCGGATGAAGTTACATTTGTTGCTCTATTGTGTGGTTGTAGTAGGGCTGGAATGGTTAGTCAAGGTTGGGAACTTTTTCACCGCATGACTGAGGAATACTCAATTGTTCCAAATCTCAAGCACTATGCATGCATGGTGGATTTACTGAGCCGTGTTGGGAGATTAACAGAAGCTTACGACTTCATAAATAGAATGCCCATCACACCAGATGCTGCTGTATGGGGAGCCTTGTTGAACGGATGTCGGATACACCGGCATACTGAACTTGGGGAGCTTGCTGCCAAATTTGTCCTTGAGTTGGAACCCAATGATGCTGGATATCATGTTCTTTTGTCTGATTTATATGCTGATGCTGGCAAATGGGCTGAAGTGGCTAGAGTGAGAAAAACCATGCGAGAGAAGGGATTGGAGCAAGACTATGGGTGTAGCTGGGTTGAGGTTAAAGGAGATATCCATGCATTTCTTACAGATGATGAATCACACCCGCAGATGAAAGAAATAAGTGCTGTTCTACATAGCATATATGAGCGGATGAAAGCATCTGGTTTTGATCCTGTTGAATCTTATTCTTTAGAAGATAAAGAAGTATCCAAGGATGATGTTTTATGTGGCCACAGTGAAAGAGTAGCTGTCGCTTTTGGTCTGATCAATACCACACCTGGCACCTCTATTTTTGTCACAAAGAACCAGTACACTTGCCATAGCTGTCACGGTATACTGAGGATGCTTTCTAAGATTGTTCGCAGAGAGATAACTGTCAGGGACACCAAGGAATTCCACCATTTTAGGGATGGAAGTTGTTCATGCGGAGGTTCAGGCTAAGAAGACTATAACATGCGGTCATGTGCTAATCTCACGTCAGTTCCGAATCACCAGTACATAAGTCTTTGGCAACAAGCATTGTGAACTTGATATATATAGTCACTAGCAAGTAGAAGGATAGCTTCGATACGGCAACATGCCCACCATCAGGCTGCTTGCTGCTTAGATAAACATAGCTTATGTTTTGGGTTATGCGTAGAAGCTCCATGCAAATTTACAGCTTGGTACATGACAAAAGATGGTGAAAAGTTATCGGAGATGCTGGGAATTCAGTTCCAATATATCTTGACCTCACAGAAAGTAATTTATTTTCTCTCTTTTTATCAGTTCAGTCACAGAAGGGTCCTAATATTTCTTTCTTAATATGTTGTATTGTTCCTTGCAGTCTCCTGAAGTAATGCTTCTTGGAGATGATATTTGCTTCCAACAACTTGCCAAAAGAAATATCAAGTAAGCTTATTCCAGCAAGGAAGGGCAGAGTAGTGGATTGCATACTGTTTTGCCGAATAGGAGTAACTGTAATTGTAATGCCTGTCAAATGTCAACTATAGGCTGTATAATGGTTGAGCTGCACTTCTTTTGCTGATTTTATGTTAGTAATAGTGTACATGATATGCCAGTGTGGACTGAGCACTAGCTCAGTGGTCGGGCATTGTCTAGTGCTCTAACTCGGCCGGGTTTGAGACCTCACAGGAGCAAATATTGCAACTGAGTTTCTCGCTTGTAATTGGAAAACATGATGCTAAGGCATTCAGAATAATAATAATAACATATTAGTGACTTGAATTACTAGCAAGTAGAATGACAGTTTCGATATGGCAACATGCTCACCAGCAGGCTGCTTGCTGCTTAGATAAACATACTCCCTGTATCCCTTAATATAAGACGTTTTTGCAGTTCAGAAACAGAGGTAGTAGCTTATATTTTGGGTTATATGTAGAAGCTCCATGCAAATTTACAGCTTGGTACATGACAAAAGATGGTGAAAAGTTATCCAAGATGCTGGGAATTCAGTTCCAACATATCTTGAGCTCACAAAAAGTAATTTATCTTTTCTCGGAAAAAAATTGTGACTTGAATTACACTTGGACCTAAGATGTCCATAAACCTGGAAAATGTGAAGTACACCTCCTCGGTGACTCATTTAGGAACCGTCAGAATTTTTTTCCCTTTTGCTTTTTTGCAACTGTCAGTATGGTTGCCAAGACTGGCCCATATCAGATTTTGCAGCATAGTCTCAAACCAGTTTGGCAAGTGGGCCAAAAGTATATTCACAACTTTATGTTCATAACTGAAGTGATCTTGGCTTCTTTCATTTTGACATGCATCTCTTATAAGTTACAACACATAATGTCATCATTTCATCCCATTTATCATACTTCAGCACATTATCCTGATGGATTAGTACTGACCCTGTATTGATGTTTGGGTCTTGACATTGAGATAGTTCACTGTGCTTGTGACATGCATCTCTTAGAAGTTTCAACACATAATGTAATCGTTTCATCACATTTGTCATATTTCAGCACATTATACTGATGTATCAGTACTGGCCCTGTATAGATGTTTGGGTCTTGACATTGAGATAGTTTGTTGTGCTTGTTTCAGCAACAGTACTTGGGCAAAGACCAAACCTCCCTTAGAAGCTGAGAGCACTTTGTATTTGAGCACATTATACTAGTGGATTAATACTGAATTTTTCCGTGGCAATGTATGAAATATTTCTTGAGAACTCTGTGCTCAGCTACAATAGTGACATCCACAGAACAAAGGTATCCATATATGTTTTCTGACCTTGTTGAGTGGGGAACGACAAGCAGCTGACTGTTGTAATCCAAACCTTGGCAGCTGATACAGTATTGTGGATCGCCACTTGCAAGTTTGCTCTGTAAATTAAACTGTCCATCGGTGTACTTTTATTGTACTGTGTAATTCTGTACACTTTTAACTCTTGTGCCTGAAGCTGCTGCTACAATCTCAATACAACAGCTACACGATGCTACTGTCTAACCATATATAGAGTGTATATGCAGACAGAATCTTTATCAGGTTGTACCCTTTGATGCTTCTTAACACCTAATCGAACTTGAGCAGGTCCTTTGTTCTTAAAAATCAAGTGCATTGTTGATTGTCGAGAAAAAAATCCATTTACTTGTCAATTCATGGTGTTTGATGCAACCTGTAGGTTTTATAATGATGTTGTACTAGAAAGGTGTAACATAGAACCCCACAGTTGATATGCCGAGTTGTTGCATTGGCTGGTTCAGGATCTTCGACCAACCCTTGTATTGTCAAGTGTCAACTGTCATTGAATTATGCTATCTTTTTCATGCTGCTGCTGATGAATTATGTACTGATTCTGAACCTTTTTCTTTCTTTTTTTCAGATGCATGGGGAGCATTATCCAGAAACCACCAACACTTTGTGCCGCCACCAGAGTTTGTCTGTGTATGAATGAACATCCCACGCTTTCAGGTGATGCTCCTGCAGTCCTGTTTAATATCAGATTGTCATCCTCATCCGGCAGCAGCGCAGTTCATCCACAACACAGGTGATGCTCCTGCAGTCATGTTTACCAATACATCCTTGACCGAAATAAGTTGTCTATAAAAAAAAACTGTGGCATCAAGAGACATGCATGTAACAAACAAGCAGTAGTATTAGGGAAACTCAAGATATTATTAGACATATGGTCCAGACAAGGAAAAAACCCCAACTGGACCAACTAACAACCAGGGAAACCAATACACAACTAAACCGTACAATCTATTATGATTTCTACACAATTGGAAGGCCACGGGCGCACCGCAGCCATCTAGTGTCCTCTACATCAAGGGCGGCTCAGCCTGGATGTACAGGCAACAATAAATGGTGGATAGGAAGCCTGGCATGGAAGAAGAAGGAAGGAAACTTCAGCAGCCCAAGAGAGCATCGACTGGCCTCCTTTTCGGGTGAGCACAGCTCACGGCACGATATGATCATCATCTGGGGGGAAATAAGTTAATGCATCCCTAACCCCGTGGCTATTCAATGGGTTTAGGTTAGTTAGCAGGACCCGTACGTGGAATGGGAGGGAGAGGAGAAGAGAGGAATTAAATGGGGGCATGCCATGCAGATTATGCAAGCAAGCAAGCAAGCACATCAATTGCATGCTGGAACAGTTGGTTGTTGCTGCTGCTGCTCCAATCCATGCTTGTTTTGTATCCTCTTTTTCATGAGCTTCTAGAACATCTTTTATTTGTGCGTGTGGTTGTGACTTCTGGGAGTACATGCATTCCACCCATTTTATTGTCTAGGGCGGTTGGCAACATTTATGGGTTGTTGATTCATGCAATGTAGTAGTACTAGAATTGATGTAGGAGGAGGCGCGTTAGTTTTGTTTGGCCTGATCACTTCTTATTTTATGTCGACAAATTTGTGGTGATTTTTGCACACGCACAAACAAAAAACACTTTATACTCTGGGGAAGTTGGCAACATTTATTGGTTGTTGATTCATATAATGTACTCCCTCTGTTCCATAATATAAGAACGTTTTTGGCGCTAGTGTAGTGTCAAAAACGTTCTTATATTATGGGACGAAGGGAGTAGAATTGATGTTGGAGGTATGTTAGCTTTGTTTTGGCCTGATTTATTTTTATTGTATGTATATAAATTTGTGGTGATTTTTGCAAAAAAAAAAAATCGTGGTGAGACAAGGAGTTGGATTGGTTTTCCCAAGTACTCCCTCCGTTCGGAATTACTTGTCTCGGAAATGGATGTATCTAAAACTAAAATACGTCTACATACATTCATTTCTGCGACAAGTAATTCCGAACCGTTTCTGCGAAATTACTTGTCTCGAAAATGGATGTATCTAGAACTAAAATACGTCTAGATACATCCATTTCTGCGACAAGTAATTTCGAACGGAGGGAGTAGTAGTAATCCTTAGCTCCAAATATTCAGTTCCCCTCAGAATCTAGTAGGATTTACAGATGGAAAATACACAGCTTCTGACGGATGTAATATTTATGATATAAATGTTCTGTCGCCAGACACTAGGCATCAATTGAGTGCAAGAAAAAAGTATGAATCAGTCCCTCCATTGGTGCTGGAAAACACACTGTAGTTTCTTTTCAAGTCCAATGGAATTAAAGGAAGGAAAAATGTCTAGTCCTTTTTGGGGGCGCTATGTATTTATTTCTGTCCAGTACTACTACAGTTTTTCCCTTTTTGCGAGACAGAGAAAAGTGACCACGTACTACTAAGCTTTGATTTGACAGCCGGGCCGGCATCACTTCGTTCTTTGGACGGAACACGTAGGTGAATCGTGACCTTGTAAACTGCAGTACCAATTAAGCCAGTATAGTCCCAACCCAAGATCGCTATCGGCCAAGCGCCGTGCATACTTTTTTTTTTCTGAACCTAACCGTGCATACTTTCTCCGTCTGGGTTTATTACACGTCGAAGTTTGGCCATTGATTTGACTAGTAAAATATAAGTTATATGTCATAAAGGTTGTACGTTTAGATTCATATTCGAAACAAGTTTCCATTGGTACTGTTTTCTGGCATACTACTTATATTTTGCTAGTTAAATTTACTGTCAAAGCTTGACTCAAAATATGAGATGAACTTACAAATCCTTGATTCAGATATTCATTTAGTCAGATGTTGATTTGAACCCCAAGAACTTGTAGGATCTACTATTTTCAGAGAGAGAAAAAAGCTTGTGATGAATATAATTTTTGAAAAATTATGTATAACTAGATTCACCAAACATCAACTGGGTGCAAGAAGGAATTAAAGGAAAGAAAAAGGCCAGTCCCTTTCGGAGCGCTATGTATTTATTTGCGCCGAGTACAGTTGACAGATAGATTTGACAGCAGAGCATGACGCAATTCTTAGACGGAACACGTAGATAAAACGAGGCCTTGGAAACTGCTGTGCCAATTAAGCGAATACAGTTCCAGACCAAAGGTCGTGATCGTATCGGCCAAGCATATGTCCGTCTTGTGCA